TAAAAAAGATCATTTTGCTTTAATGAGGCTTCCCCTTCGAAAGAATAATATTGGCAGAGCTAAAGCCCAGATTGGAAACAATGTGTGGCTTTTGTTTTCTTTTTTCCCTTCACTTTTTTCCTCCCTTGCCTTCATTCTTGGTGTTGGGGCTGGAGAGGAAAGTCTCTATCTTGCCAAACTAAACAAATTACGCTTTACAATTCAGAAACTTAAATGCCTCTTTTTATCATCATTTCCTTAGCACTGAGTGTTGAGAAAATAAAGCAGTAGTAAGCGAAGTGTTTGCATACCCTTTTCTTGATGGCCATTGGCAAACAAATACAGCCAGTTGTTTCTCTTTAAGGCTATTAAGTTTGCCTGGAATTCATCCCTGGGCAAACCTCCCCCCACACGCACTCCATGCCGGCAAGAAAAAAATAAATAAAGCAGAGCCCCTTCTTTCTATTATTACCATCCCTGCAGATCTCTCTGCTTCCCATGACAGCACATGAGATCAAACCCCTCTGAACACACTGAAGGAAAGAGACTCATTCGGCCGTGCCGGGAACGCACACGCTCACTTACAGTACCTCTTGGAAAGCAGGAGATGAGCAGGAACTGGAGGAGAGTGAGTCCTACATGTGTCCAGGGGGCTCGCTTCATACTGCCCAGGCCGGTGTAGCGGTGTGACTGCTTGGGAAGGGAAGGCAGGCAAACAGCTTTTACTGGGACCTCACCAGCTCCAGGCTGCAAGGGATCTCGGATTTCAGACCTCAGCTCACTCCCATCCTCACCAGAGGGGAACTACCTTCAAGAGACTTCTCAGGCGTCCAGAAGCGACGTCACCCCAAACCTCTCCAACTGCTGCCTTAACCCTTTCTGGACTCTGGCAGTCGATCCCTTTTGTGATCGGTTTGTTGGCTCAGTGCTCAGCTCTGAGATAGCAACTTTCATCTCAGAAAAAAAGATATTGTAAAGGGTGAAGAAACAGAAATGCAAATATCTATTTATATGAGTCATTCCAGTTGCTGTGGGTGAGCTGAAGTTACAGATGTCTCCACAAGGACGCACTTTGTACATGCTCCCTTTGGGCTTGCAGGGGTTCATGCATCCCCAAGCTGCTGCCTCTGATGGTGGGTCTGGGCGTGGGGTGGGTGCAGAGTGGGCAGTGTGGCCAAGTGACGTGTTCCACTTTACAACATGCTTAAAATAGCCATGCATTTCTATGGTGGGGCAGATGAATGAATGAGGCTAGCTGAAATTTCACTCCACAGTGGATGAAAACCACAAAACACAAAAGGAATCACTCGGCATACACATGCTTGAGCTACTCAAAACCTTTTTACGGAGTCCATTTCTGCCAGGAAATGCAATTTTGGCAAAATTTGAATGTTTTGTCAGAATATGTTGATATTGAGGAAATGTTCAATCCAAACAAAGGAGACCACTTAATTTGGATTTTATCTCTGTCTCATATTTTGTTTTGCCTTTTCTATTAGCACATGCTACTGATTTTATCTGGTCTTCAGCCCACATTTCATAGCCGTATACTTTATTTTTTCTAACTATTTTCTCGCAAAAGTTTTCAATACTGTCCAAAGGAAATATTTCATAGTTCTAAATCAGACTTTCTCAATTTCATTTCTGTAGCAAGTTTTCAAAATTTACATATCTTGTGAAGGGGAAAAATTGAAATATTGGCACCTGCTTTTGAATAGAAATTCAAGTAACTCACAAAGCTTTAACAAATACCTACAGCTGTTTGTAAAGCTCCTAGGCATGTTGAGCAACCTCAAAAATTTTAGAGCAGTAGCCAATGGAAACCATGAGTAGTTTGCCACAGTGGAAAATCCATTACACCTTCAGGTGGTCTTTCACAGGGTGAATTCCTTTATCCAGACATCTCTCTAGGTTATGCCTGTCTCTACCAACCTATGGACTTTTAACTGTGAACAGTCTTCATAGTGATTGTGCACCTTCCATATAAACAATACCAAAGTATTCGCAGTCATCTGTTTTCTCTAAATCTCTTAACACTGGTGGAAACCCACCGTTGACAATACTAATATAAGAAAACCTGAGATAGATGCCAAGATTTTAACCATTATGGCACATAGCACTATTCAGAACATGCAAACATAAGAAGTCAACATAACATAACTAGAAGGATATTTTGCATGTAGCTGCTGTTTGACTTTCTGTATGACTCCTAACAGTGGAAACAATGATAACTGCAAATACAGTAACGATCAATCAATAAACATATAGTTTCCACTTCTCAAACACCATCTTTTTAACTATTTCAGTGTGATCTATAGATACTAATTGTGGCGAGTTAACCTTGGCTAAGGGCCAAACTCTGGCCCAGACACTCACTCATCCCCACTTGGGTGAAGATAAAGACAGGGAAGTTTGATACCAGTTACTGTCACAGGCAAAACAGACTGAACTCAATTTATTGCGAATTAAAATAGATTTGGGTACTGAGAAACAAAAATGAAAAGCAAAACATGTTGTCCCCCCTGCCTTTTGCAGGCTAAGCTTCATGCCTTCACTCCTGACTCCTCCACGTTCCCCCCGAGCGGTACAAATGGGATAGGGAACTGGGGCTGCAGTCAGTCTATTGCAGCTTCTCTCTGCTGCTCCTTCCTTCTCACACCTTTGCCCTGCTCTGCCATGGGCTGTCTACAGGCTGCAGTGCTTCAGGAAATATCCACCTGATCTGGTGTGGGGTCCTCCAGGGGCTGTTGTGTGGATATCTGCTCCAGTGCAGGCTTTCTGTGGGTCGCAGGGGAATCCCTGCTCTGCCTGGAGCACCTCCTCCCCCTCCTCCTTCTCTGACCTTATTGTTTGCAGGACTGTTTCTCACTTTTTTTCTCTCTTCCTCTGCCTGTCTGGTGGTTTTTGCCCTTTCTTAAACAGGCTTTCCCCAAGGTGCCATCAGCCTGGCTGAGTGGCTTGGCTATGCCCTGTGGTGAGGCCATTGGAACTGGATAGAACAGGCTGGAACTGGCCATGTCGGGCATGGGGCAGCCCTGTCCTCTCCTCACAGAGGTCCCTGCAGCTCCTGTGGCCAGCACCTCTCCAGGAACACCTGTAGAGTAATTTAGTAATTCCACACACCCCTGCATTTCACAGTAGATCCTGTTCTCCACCTCTGACATCACAGGCAAAATGTTCACAGCTTTTGTGAAAGGTAAAGAAACCAAGGCACAGGAATCATTGCAATGTCAGTCAATAGCAATCTGAAACCTAGTAAGCGGACTAAAGCTTTTCTGCTGATTGTAGCATGTGAGCCATCTTTGCTAAGCCAGCCTGGCTGGTGCCCTGGGTGCTTGACAGCTAAGGAGGAAGCTACCAAAGCTCTCGAAGTCCCACTGGGCCCTATTATCGTTCAGCTACCACATTCTCCCAGAGCCTTTGATGGGCATCTCGTGCCCCAGAACCCTGAAACCCTGCCATGGTGGCCCCCTGCTCCTTTCTGAGAGCTCACACATGCGCTCAAAATTCTTTCATAATCCAGCTTTGGGTTCCTCTGACAAGCCATTGCTGGTTAGTGGCAGGAGGAAAAGAACTAAGGAGAAAAACTGAAGCCCCCCAAACCAGATGCAAACAGTGAAAACAGGGAGCCCTTACCTCTTCACAAGGAAATACAAAAAACTGAAGTCTGTGGAATCATGATTAGTTTATTTCTTACCCTATTTCTAGTAAAAAATTCAATTGTTTAACCTAGTAAGTCCTTTTAGGACTGAAAGTTGGCTTACAGATATCTGAGGCTCAGATATCCCTGAGGGGGAGTCTCATAAGGACATAAGTGAAAATCTGGTTTTGGTGTGTGAAGTGAAGGGAAATCCCACAGCTCAGAATGATGCTGGACACAGGGAAGCAGAGTGTTAAGGCCAAACACAGAGGACCTAATACTTAGGTTTCTCATAAAGGCCAGAACCATTGGGGAAAACATACCCACAAGGGTCACAACTATTTGTTTATTTGAGCCAGTTCCTATGGCAAGATGTTCAAAATGGTAGAAAAGTAGTAGCTGAAGTTGTGTCTGTCCTGTGCAAGAAGCAGCTCTGCAGGGATGCCTGTTTTAGGATAGAAAAGCGGTCTTTCTGTTTTATGGAGGAACGGTCTAAAGAAGGGCAAAAGTGGTAGATCTATGACATCTTTTTGTTTTTCTTGTCTCTGAGGGAAGGTACCAGGGAATGCTACCAGGTAATATAATTGCACTCAGCGCTACTCTACAGTGCTTAACTTAGCTTGGCACCTTGCAAAATCAATTTAGTTGGTGGATCCACTGCATCCTTAGAGAATGGCTCAGCACCCAAAGAAGTGGATTCAGTCATGATCCCACAGATTTGCACATGGCCTATTCACACAGGTTGTCTGGTGGGATGAAGCTTTAGCCCCAGGAATTACTCTGGGCAACTTACACAGTGCTCCTGAATGCACTTCTTGCATTCCTATTAAGAGGCAGCGACCAAACCAGGCAGATAACACCTGCCAAATATTTCAGGCTGTATGTAATACTCCATGAAAGAAAGCTAAAAGCACTTAGCCATGTGTCTGTGCTGCTGAGGAATCTCACTGTAGCATTTGGCTGCAATGTTTGTATCTGTCCTATTGCTGAACATACTTAAGTACAAGTTTGAAAATTACATTCCACTGAAACTGAATTGTAAAACAGAGTGCTGCAAATGTTGATAGAGTTATATGTTAATAGTAATTTTAAAGTACCTAGCAATCCATTTCAACCTAGAGTAAAACAAGCCCTTTGATAATTAATAATTGACCACTGAGTGAAAAATTGATGTGTACTTAATACCACTAACTTGTACTTCTAATAATCTGCCATCAAATCTGAGACGTGAAAACACTGTGTGGCCCAATCTGCAAGAACAGAAAGAATGACACCATTCTGTAGTGGGGAAAAACTGAGATGCAGAGAGATGAGCTGAAGTTCATATCCTCAAAATCCACCTGGACACTGTCCTGTGCAACCTGTTGTAGGTGACCCTGCTCTGGCAGGGGGGTTGGACTAGATGATCTCCAGAGGTCCCTTCCAACCCTAACCATTCTGTGATTCTGTGAAGCACTGGTGGGTCAAGAAAGTAACACTGTAGCTTCACCCTTGTTCGGTACTTGAAGCTCTGGACTGTCCTCCTTGAGAGGACTCAGTGAAGAATAATTAGGGATGAATGTATAGTTCTGAATAAAATAAATTTGGACTTGAAATAAAATCACTGTCTCAGAGCCAGAAGGACTTTTTTTTTCAGTCTTTGAAATTTTAGTGAACTTTTTATTTCCCCCATTTTCACAGACAGCTGGAATCTCTTGTTTCTGTTGCTGGAATATTACCAGAAAACTTTATTCTTTTGTGACTTCTGCTCAGATGACTCCATCCCAAATGGCCCTGATGATCTTCCAAAGCTCCAGAGGTTCTGCTGGAAGGAAATCTGTGATTTTCAATGTTACTCATTTATGCTACTGCAGATTGGATGCCTTCACAGGACATCCTTCTTACAAGAACATTTGGACCCCTTTTCTCTCTCTTCTAACAGGCAAGATTCCCACTGAAACTAGTGGAGTCTTCTGCCAAAGAAAGAGTTTGAATCATCTGAGCACAAACATGCTCCCAGCAGGGTTGGTGGAGTTAGGTCTTG